AAGTGTATAAACCAAACCAAACCCAATGCCATCAACCGGATTCCAACACATAGCCACCCTATATAGTTCTGAGGCTGTAAACCTGTATGGGAGCAGATAATTCATCTTTCTCCCATGGAGCAGCTGGTGGGTCAGAACCACCAACCTTGAGTTTAGAGACCTACACTCCCCAGTCAGCGCCAGGGCTTCATCCAAGGTGATAGAGTTAAAACAGGCCCAGACCTCAGAAGGCTAGTTTAAGGGGGGACACAATGATATAAACTAAATATTAACAATCCAAGTCAGAGTTTGCCTCGGGAGGGTATCAAAAAGAAAGGAACCTCAGCTCGGGTAGCCGGAGGAAAACTTCCAGGAGGAGAAGTCAGTGGGACTTTATAGGCGAAGAGGGAACAGGCATTAACAGAAACTGAAAGCAGTAAGATCTCCCAGGCAGTGAGCATTGTATTTGCAAAATCCATGAAGGCAAGAAATAGCGTGGGACAGGAGAATAATTTGGCAAGTACTGCTACAAGGAGGGAGGAGCACAGATGAAGGAAGCTAGAGAGGAAGGCAAAATTCTCATTCTGAAGGTAGGGTTTGATTTTACTTGGAAAGCTATACCAACCATTTCTAGCAGTGAAGTGATAAGATCAGATACGATTGGTTGAAAGATCATCTGGCACCTGAATGGAGGATAAGTTGGAGGCAAAAAGACTAATGAAGGCATTGTTATGATTAGTTTTTCTCTTAAAAGCCTAGGCCTTCTGGAGTGGTGAAAGCGGAGAGAAGTCCAGATTGGGGAACTGGGAAACTTTATAGACTTCCTCTCCAGAATAGGTAAGGCAACCTTACGTGGCCTGCTGAAAGAAGGAACTCTCTCTCAGAGTTCACAGTAGGTCCTTTTCCTATTTTACAAGCTATTTTCCAGTCTCTCTGTACTTTCTTCTCCTATACCCCTTGCACCATGACTTAGAAAGGCATAAAGGTCGGAGAGGAGATCTTTCGATGGTTCTCTGCAGTGGGCTCCTTTTTCAGTGTGCGTGTGGCATTTTGCAAGGAGCATGGGGTCAATCTGCTCCACAAGACCCCTCTTTAAAGTGCTGAAAAACAGAGCAGTTCCTTTGAGGACTAAAGTGGGCCTGAACCCAAGTCATGACATTTTCAGTTGCTTCACATGCATGTGAAAGTTGGACATTGAATAAGGAAGACCGGAGAAGAGTCAACGTGTTTGAATTATGGTGCTAGCAAAGAATATTTCAAATACCATGGACTGCCAAAAAAAACATACACATCAGTCTTGGAAGAAGGACAGTGAGGATGTTTCTTAGAGGCAAGGAGGAGGTGAAGTTTCACGTACTTCACGTTGTCAGGAGAACCCAGGCCCTGGAGAAGGACACATCATGCTTGGTAAAGCAGAACGGCAGCGAGAAAGAGGAAGGCCATGGAGGAGATGGATTGACACAGTGGATGAGGAATAGGAACAGTTGGGAGGAGGGTTCAGGACTGGGCTCTGTTCTTTCTGTTGTGCATCAGGTTGCTATGGGCCGGAACCAAATCCATGGCATCTAACAACAACACAGCCCTGGTAGAAGCCACGATGGGATAGTGGGTTACACCTTTGGCGGCTAACCATGAAGTTCAAAACCACCAGATGCTCCATGGAAGAAAGATGAGGCTTTCTATTCCTGTAAAGAGTTACCGTCGCGGAAGCCCACGAGGGCAGAACTCTGACAGACTGAGTTGGTTCGACTCAGTGAGTGAATTCCTGCCCATTAGTCAGTCCTCTATCAGTCTCCAGATGGACCTGAATTTCATGGTACCTTGGTTCTTTTGCTATGAAATAGGATTATTCAAATGTCTACTTTAAAGAATGTGAGGATGAAATGAAATACAAATAAAGCTATTGGAACAGTGACTGGCACATAATAAGCATTCAGTAAGTAGCCATGCAGTGGTGGAATCCTAACCTTCCATGCAGGAGGTCTGGTTCAATTCGTGGTCAGTGTATCTCCAGGGAAGGCACCACCCTTCTGCTATCAGAGCCTTTCATGGCACTAGGATGCGCACTCATTCTTTTTGCATATTCAGCTTGAGTCTTTCCTATATAACACAGAAGCCCAGGCAAGACGTGACCGGTGGCCACATAACATTAAGAATTTTAAAGAGCTTTAAGACTGACTTCATCTAATTTTTACATTCTAATCATGTTAGTCTTACATTTGTAATATATGCTCAGTGCTACCAGATAAGGAGACCGCAGCTCAGAGAAGCTAAATCCCTTACCCAAGATCACATAATCAGTGATGGGCACCCAGACTCATCTCAAGCCCCAGCTGACTCTGTACCACCTAGGAACCACGCTTCATGCTGCCTTCCTTGCCTGACTTTGTTATTTTGAGGTAACATCTGCAGCAGGAATGCTTTATCCATGACTATTCTTGGTAGCACTTCTGGCTCTTGATGGGTTTAGCTTCTGATATCCTTATTAAAGTCATTTTTCTCATTTATTTAAATGAAGTCTTTTAATAGTTTTTGTTTAATTTAAACCTGTGGGTCGTGACCTTTGGGGGGGTCAAACACCCCTTTCACAGGGGTCGCCCAATTCATAACAGTAGCAAATTTACAGTTTATGAAGTAGCAACGAAAATAATTTGATGGTTGGGGGGTCATCACAACATGAGGAACAGCATTAGGAAGGTTGAGAACCACTGGTTTAGAAGGTAGGTGGCTAGTAAGACTCTTTTTGGCTCCTGATTGAAATCATTCTCAAAATGAAAAGATCGAAAAATGTTATTCCATGTCCTTTTATTCCCCTCCTTACAACCCTCTGCCCTTGTCTCACAAGATTACTCTACCAGTGGTCCAGATGACTCATCCCAACCCCCAACCCTGATTCCTAGGCTGCACCAGACTCAGATTACGAGGCCAATCAATGCACCAGAAAAAGGACCAATCAGGATGCAAGAATAAAGGCCAATGGGAAAGCAGGATAGGGACTGAGGCGAGCCACTGGTTTCCTGCCACCTGACCCCTCTAAATCCAATGGGGTACCCCTAAACCCATGTCTTCCTCAAATCATGAAGGAGCCAGTTTCGTGATTGAAGCTTACTTTGCTTATTAAATATTTGCTCCACTTATTGTCTTGTTGTGTGGGATACAGAAAGATATCTCCCAAGTTGTATCCCTCAAATATATGCCAAACCCAAGACGCTGCTTGCTACAAGTGGTAAATGATTGTACACTCGGAGGTCAACGAAAGTAGGTCAGAGGTTATTCTCCTTAAGGGTATCAGCCATCTAGAGCAACCAGACTGTTTAATCTGACTCACCCTAAGTAGGGCCCACTCCCTTCTGACAGAGTTCCCTTGAAGGAGAGCCCGAAGGCAAGCCGGGGACCACTGAAGGATGACTAAGGTTAGGCTAATATATTGAGTGTACATTTTCCCACTTATGTACCCCTATTCCCTCCCTTTACTATTGTGTGTACACCCCTAGGTCATCCCCCTCCTATTGCTTGTTTTGCCTATGTTACAACCCCTTCCTATCACATCGATTGTTATCTGTAATCAATATAGATATAGATATAGATATATACCCATAGGTTAGGAATAAAACCTTACAAGCTCTCTCCTGCCCTCTCGTCTCCCACCTCCATGTGTACCACCAAAAGGAGCTGAGATGAGCATGCTACCATGAAATGTGTCTGACTTCTTTATTTTACTCTCTCACCTCTCCCTTTTCTCTATGACTTTACTATAATCTTTATATATCACAACTGTACAATTGCACCTACCAAGCCTGTGATTAGTTGTGGGGGGCTGGCTACCCCCACATTGTTGTACTGCCTTGATGACATGTGTGTATGTGTGTGTGTCTGTTGTGACTGCTACTCAGGAGAAACTTGCTAGCTTGCCCGGGTGACAATGACTTCGGGTACCTAACAGATACCCCCCTAATGCTTCCTTTCATTACTTATATCAACCCTACACTTGGCTTTAGCCCCAAGGGCCCTGATAAAAATCTTACACATAAATGTCGAGAACTGCTGTCCAATGAAGTAGCCATTAGTCACATATTTCCTGAGCACTTGGAGGCTAGTCCGAATTGCTATGTATGGAGAGCAAAATGCACAAATGATTTCACTTAGTAAGAACATCTCATTCATGTTACGTGTTAAAATATTTTTATGTATTGGCATAAAATGTATTCAAATTAATGTCACCGGGGAATTAAACTCAAAATCATGAGACCAGGTTTATTGGTTGTATCAGACACAGGTGGGACTCTCCTGAGTATGCCCCTAGCCATCCTTCAGGTCTAGAAATGAACTGACCCCCATGACTCAGTTTTCAGCCAGACAATAGACAGTTTTATAAGAAGAACAATGACACACGAGATAGGCATACCTTAGACTAACCACTTATTTGAGATTTAAGGGCCAAATGCCCAAGGACGAAGTTCAGAAGGATTTGGAGACAGGTGGAAAGGAAGCACAGGAAGGAGGTGGGATGAATGCAGAGGGATTCCAATGAATGAAATAAAATGTGTACAAACGTTGAATGCACCACTGATCTGCACTGCAAATCTTCTCCCAATTCACAGTAACACATTTTTTACATTTCATGTTCCTTTTCCTTGTTTCATGTGGCATCTACAAATGTAAAATTACACAAGTCATTTGTATTTGGGGTTTGCATTATACACTTTGTGGGCAGCATTGGCTGAAGACGAAAAAGAATGTCATTCGGAGGTATTTTATTAAAAGTTTCGGTGAGGAAGAGAAAAGGGAAGTTTGGTCTTAGTAGGTGGGACCTCCGGTGATCAACACTTAGCACGAACTGAAAACGGGGAGGGGGAGTATTTTGGATGTGACTGTGTCCCCTCCCCCACCGCTAACAAAGCAGGTGACAGATCTTCTTCCGGAGCTCCATTTCCCTACCGGTCCTGGGGTCTCGGCCGGCTCCGGGTCACTGAATACACCTGCGCGCCCACTGAGGTGCGCGTCCCCGAACCCCGGCGCCGGGCCCACCTCCCCACCCCCCGTATTTTTTATTTTCTTGGGATCAACTGTCAGTTTCTCACTGTCTCCACAAAACCATCGAGTAGATCGGGCCTAGCTGGGTAAGCGTCGCCATCCCCC